TGTGAACAAATCAATTGAGAGAGGGTAGAATGTGCATTATTATGAAGATATCCAGATTGAGTTATGGAAGGAATTTGAGGATGTTCTAGCTCAAGAATCTCTATTATGGTCCAGAAAGCAAGGATGGATTGGAATATTTATGGAGATAGGAACACTAAATTTTTTCATTCCTGTGCTAATGGGTGTTAGAAGGCAAATAGGGTGGATGCCATTTGGTTAGAGGAGGGGGATTGGTGTTATGATCTTGAAGCCATTAAACGTGAAGCCACACCCTATTATGCTTCATTGTTTACTAAGGACTTGCCTAATAGAAGGAGTTATCTTTTAGTATTACTTACCCTTCTATTGATGAGGCTTGCTTATGGATTTGTGATCAAAAGGTTGATGAGTTTGAAATCAAAGGGGCAATTTTTAGCATGAGATCTTTGAAATCTCCTGGGCCAGACAGCTTTAATGCTCTTTTCTGCCAAACTCAGTGGGATACTGTTGGAAAGTCTCTTGTTAATTTTGTTAAACACATCTTTGATAATCCTCAAGAAGTTAGAGAGATTAATGGAACTTCAATGGTGCTGATCCCTAAAAAAGATCCTCCTAGAAATTTTAAGGATTAGACCCATTAGTTTGTACAATGTTGTCTATAAAGTGATTACTAAGATCATGGCTAATAGAATGAAGATTTTTTTACCACAAGTAATTTCTCCAAATCAGTGAGGTTTTGTGCCAAGCCAACATCGATATGATAATATCATAGTAGTGCAAGAAGTTATCCATTCAATGAGAATATGAGAGGGAAAAAAAAGGCTACTTGGCTATTAAAATTGACCTAAAAAAGGCCTATGATAGAGTCAATTGGCAATTTTTGAGCCGTTGTTTGAAGGAGTTGAAGCTACTTTCTATCTTTGCTAAAATTATTGATTATTGCGTTCAAACGGCTGAGTTGCAATTATTGCAGAATGGCAATAATGCACATTCATTTAAATGTTCTAGAGGGGTTCGACAAGGAGATCTAGTGTCACCATATCTGTTTGTGATTTGCATGGAGAAACTTGAGCACCTCATCCAAGAAAAAATGCGTAATGATGAATGGAGATCACTTCAGCTAATGACAAATGGGCCAACTATTTCCTACTTGTTCTTTGCAGATGATATCATCTTATTTACGGAAGCGTCTTTGTAGCGAGTGGAGTTGATTAAACAATGTCTAGACATTTTTTGCAATTGTTCCGGTCTCAAGGTAAATTTTTCTAAAACCTGTGTGTTTTTCTCCTCTAATATCAATCATAACAGATGTATAGAAATTAGCACCAATATAGGGTTTACACAAATAGCAGATTTGGGGAAATATTTGGGTATACCACTTCATCATAAGAGAGTGAGCAAAGTTACTTACAAGGAGGTTGTTGACAAGGTTAAACAACGTTTGGCCAAATGGAAGACTAATTCATTTTCGCTTGCTGGGAGATCTACTCTAATCACCTTAGTGATGTTAGCAATCCCAAGTAACACCATGCAAACATCTTTGCTCACAGCGACCTGTTGTGAGACTCTTGACAATCTTAATAGAAGCTTTCTGTGGGGAAATACGGATGATCAGAAGAAGGTTTTGTTGGTTATTTAGGATGCAGTTTGCAAGCTGAAATCAAAAGGAGCACTTGGGCTGAGACATACCAGATTTCAAAATCATGATCATCTAATAAAGCTCGGGTGGAAACTTGTTAATTGTCGTGATGATTTCTGGGTTAAAGTTGTTCGCGATAAATATCGACCTCATCCCCGAGATTTATGCTGAGCGGGGTGGATCTAATGTCTAGTTAGGTATAAAGAAGAGATGGAAGAAGGTTGAAGAAGGACTAGAAGTTGCTGCCAATGGAACCACTGCAAGATGGAAACATGAACGTAGCGGATTGTTTTCAGTCAAGTCAGCTTACGAACTTCTGTCAACTGCTGGTATGGAGTCAAATTCGCTTTGGGAGAAAATATGGAACCTTTTTCTTTACGAAGGAAAGAGGGTCTACAATGAAGATATTATTGTCAACACTACTGCTATGTTGGCTAGTACTAATCGGCATCAGAAATATCTATCAGGCATGTCACTTCCAGGAATTCGACTGACTGCTCCAGAACATGGTTGGCAACCTCCGACACAAGGGTGGATCAAACTTAACTTGGATGGGGCTTATTCCTTTGTTAAACACAACTGTACTTGAATTGGGTTACTGCAAAATTCAGAAGGACAGTTTATACAGGGATTTATACATAATTTGGAAAATGGAGATGCACTTCATGCAGAGCTTTGCGGGTGCTTACTTGGATTGAAGCTTACTGGGGATTGTGGATACCGCAAAATTATATTGGAATCTGATTCAAGCAGTGCCATTAAGCTTATTACAGATGATCCAAAGGAACATCATTATGACCACGGCGTCATTCACAAAATCCGTTCGTTGATGAGCAGGGTTTTGGGAGGTGAATATTGCCTATGTGAACAGAGAATTTAATAAAGCTGCAGACTTCTTTGCCAAACAAAGGCTTGCCGCTGTGAGTGGATTCCATGCAGTTGTTGCTGTCCCTACGGAGCTGTCTTCTATTTTGGTTGCTGATCGCTACGCTATGACAAGTGATCGTGTAGGCTTTGGTTAAGGTTTTCATATTGTTATTTAAAAAAAAAAAAAAAAGAATCCGGCGGGTATTTGATGAGTTCTAACGTAGTATCCGTAGATACATTGTTTTACCTGGTTTCTAACGTGGTTTTTGTAGTTCTTTTCATTAAGTTTTAAAAAAAATTTTAAAAATGGTTTTAAGAAGTTAAAAAATATCGAATAAAACTTATCTATTATTAATATAATAAAAATTATTCTATTTATAATGATTTCTTTGCATATATATATAAAATATAGAGTCTCGTTGATTTTAATTTTCTTTAAATCCACGTAACAAAATTAATCCAGTTATATGTTTGAGTGAGAACTGAAAAAATGCCTAAAACTGAATAAAGGATCTAATAAAAAGGAAAAAAAAATTACAAAGACTTAGATTAAAAAATCAGTTAAACTATAAGAACTTACCAAATGATTATCCCAAAAATGATGCGACAAATTTTATTTAAAGTTGTATAAAATTAGTATAGATATTGGTGCATATATAAAATGAAGGGATATAAGATTAGTGTAGATATTCAAATGATTCACATGTCAATCAAACGATTTTCTTTGATAGAGTTATCTTAAAATTAGAAATAAGATTTGCCTAGGCAAAAAAAAAAGGGAGAATCCCAATTAAATCCAGCCGAAATACTTAAATTCAGATTTAGGCTTACACTTTTAGCAAATTCCTAATTAGGCCATGAGATCTAATTAGGGATTTTTGAATGTTGTTAAATCACCAAAATGCCCCTCTTCAATTAAAAGAAAACTTGATTAATATACCTCTACCAAGTAATTCCTCATCTCTTATTATTATTTTTAGACCAAAAAACATATAAGTAATTTTACAATGTTTGAAATTTGTATATATAACTTATACTATTAAAAATATTTTAATAAAACATGTTAAATTACAAATATAAGTAAAATTATAAATATTTTTTATTTTCAGTTCTTGTAATTTACGTTAGTTTTATTTATTTAAACAATGTTGGATTGAATTGAAAACGTAAATGATTACGATTTAATATTAAATTTTTATTATAATTAAAATATTTTAAAATTTTAAAATAAATATTTACAACCTGAAAAGAAAAAAATATTAAAAATATTTATTTAAAGATTACATATATTATAATTTGAAATGTTTTATGAAAATATTTTGAAGGTTTTAGTTATATTACAAAATTTCAAACACTAAAAAATTATTTATATTTTTTTGTCTAAATATTAATAATAACAGATGATGAACCACTTTAGAGGGATAAAATAATCAATTTTCATTTTTAACTAAAGAGGGGCATTATAGTTACTTAACAATATTTAGCAATTCCTAATTAGGTCTTATGTCCTAATAAAGAATTTGTTAAAAGTGTAGGCCTCAATTTAATTTTAAATATTTCAGCAGGATTTAATTAGGATTTTCTCAAAAAAAAAGTCAATACCATTTTTATTTCCTAAAATTTGTTATTATTTAAGTCTTAGTTGTTAAAATTTTAAACCAGTAATTTTGATTCCTCAAATCCAATCTCATTTTGGTTTCGGCAAAGGTACAAATTTATCACTTATCTTATTTTTTTAGATGCATCTAACACTCTAATATTTGGTGTAATTTTATCTCTTTTTTTTTGCATGCAATTTTATTTATAATTTTTTTGTTACATTTTTATCCATGATCTTTCAATAACAAAAAAGAAAAAGGTTGGGGCTAATATCACACCACTAAGATAGTATTAATCCTAGAAATAAGATTTGAGTAGAGAAGGTAATGGAATAAGATCATAGTAGATATTTTGTGATTGTTATATTCAGTTCAAGGACGATGCTGAAACAACTCATAAATGATGCAGGAACTCTCTAGAAGCTGAAGCCAACGAACCCTACCGATCGAGAACACCTTTAAATCTCAACCGCCGTCTCTTTCGTCTGCGAATTCTGTTAAGTGTGAAGCGACGAGAATGGAAGGCACTTTTCCGCCCAAGAGATCATCGTCAACATTCTCAAGAGGCTTCCCATAAAATCCCTAATCCGATTTCAATGTGTCTGTGAAAAATGGAAAAATCTCTTGAAGGATCCATTGTTCATTGCGGATCACCTCCACCACTCCAGTCATCGACCTTCTTTTCTCGTCCAACAACTCTATCAGAGAAACAATTCGTTGTACTTGTGTTCATTCGATCGCGACTTTCAACTCCGTGAAGTTCACAAGCCACCTGTGATCGATTTCTACTTGCCGAGTTTTGATTTTGTTCAAAAGTTTGGATCATCGGTTCCAGCAACGGCTTGCTCTGCGTTCAACTCCGTGATCATTATAGATCTCCTCATAAGATTCTAGTGTGGAATCCAGCTATTAAGAAGATGAGAGAGGTCCCCAGAACCACTTATTCCAAGAGCCACTTGTCTATAGGATTTGGGTTCAGTTCTATTGCTAATGATTACAAGATAGTTAAGTTCTCTGTTTCTGGGTCTTATTTTTATGAGAGTAGGGGTTCGTATAGGGCCTACAAGAAGGGCGTGAATGGAGTGTTAGTGTATTCATTACACACAGGGTTGTGGAAAGATGTGGAATTTGGGAACATAAAGGATCTATATATTTATTCTGAAACAGCCACTGATAATAATAATGGAACCATTATTTGGCTTGCTCAAAATTTGAATGATGAGAGTGGCATAATGGTCTCATTTGACATAGAAATGGAGGTGTTTACATTAATACCAAGGCCTGCTTTATACACTAGCTCAATTTGTATTCCTACTTTTCATGAGAACAAACCAGCTATTCTTTCTTACAGTGTGATAGGAAACTCTCAATCTGGTTTCATTCATTTGTGGGTGGTTGAGGAGAATAGATGTGCATTTGGAGGGGGGATATGGACTTGGACTAAAAAATATAGCAGCAGCCCAAATCTCTATCCATACTATTTAATTCCGCTGAACACTTGGAGGAATGAAATTGTTTGCACAGTTAGTCTTCAGAGTGAATTCGTTCGGAGAACTGAAAAATATGGTGAAGCCTTGAAGGATCGAGGAAGAACTTTATATTTGTTGACTCTCGCCACTAATGAAATTAAGAAGTTTGTTATGATAAATAATAATGGTGGCTTTGGAATCTTAAATTATGTGGAAAGCATTGTACCAGTAGGTACCTAACATTCACGTTGAAGAACTTTCATCATAAATCCTAGTTATTACATAGTAAATTTACTTTGTTTAAGTACTCTTGGTGGAAGATCATTTGATTGCTCATAAACTTTTGAAGCCCTTTTTAGATGTTATTCTGATGAATGCGGCCGGCACATGTTCACTGACAAATATTTTTAGCTTCGTTTGACACACACACACATATAGATATAAGTGCTCATGCGTGTGTGTGCGCGTAATTTCATTGTTATCCTTATTTTTCGTAAATAAGATCGCTGATATATATGGATTATCTAGAATTCGTGGATTGTATCAATAGTTTTATATCAGGGTTTTTCTTTCCTAATAACCTATAAACAGTTAAAAGAAATTCTCCAAATACTACATGGTGGGAATTATTTCCCCAGATGCTATAGTCAAACTTGTTCAAGACTTGAATAACTTCTAAAATTCATCCAACCAAGAACAATTTTTTCAATAAGCTTCGTTTTCCATGTAACTGAAATTCATTTTGATCTGAACAACTTTTAAATTTCATCACTCCTTGAACAACTTCTTTATCCGTACAATGATTTTAATAATGATTAGTTATATTTGAATAATAAATTAAGAATAAATAATGCTGAGTGTTAATCATTATATCATAGTAAGAGTAATGAATGATATTATATTAATTACAAAGTGATTAATGAAAATAAGTAATGATTAGGTTTTAAAGAAATTAATAATTAGTAATGATTAAATTGACATGAACAAAAAATGAAAAATTAATTTGGTTACAAATGATGACTCTTGGTAACACATCTTGTTTTATTGTTGTATATTCACTTTTTTTGAGTTTGATCAAATGTCTCATTTGTCTGGGTAATTGCCATGTTTAAATCAAATAAAGGTGATTCAACTAAAGAAATTGATTGTTGAAAATGCTTCATTTGATGGATCATCTTACTCAAAAATAGAATATTATATTCAACCGTAAATGATGTGGGATTATCAAATGAGGACTTGAATGACTGAAATTCAAGAGGATTAGTAAGTCAGAATAGGATAATGTTGATGGAAAGAATTAAAATTAGAGACAGTTGTCAAATGAAGAGCTTTTCTACAAATAAGTATTGTGATTAAATATTCTGATAAATTTAATAAATGAAATACTATATCTGATATTTAATATAAGAGCTAGTTGACTAATTTGAGAAGATCAAGAAAATTAATTAAGTAGTTACTTATAACAAATAGGTGTTATCTTTCATAAAATGCCCTTGCTAATCATTTGTATTAGCTAAAGCTATCATTTTATGAAATTTTTAACATGTGTAATTAGACTACCTTGGAACAAAAAAAGAATAGATATGAGATACAAAGTGAGTTGGGATCTTATATTTAGGATCAAATTAGAAGTCAAACTAACTCTTGTATTAAAGACTAGAGGTAGTATATACTAGTATTTAGAAAATTTTAAATATGAAATTCAATGTATACAAAGTGTACCAGCTAGCATATAAAACTTTAAACAAACTCAACATATTAAAAAAAATCGTGTTTCAAGATGAAATAAAATGCAGCACACACTACCAACTCTGCTGAAAGAATGGAAGGATGAAAAGCTTGAAGAGAATGAAGAAGAATGGAAGGATAGAGGAGTTAAAGAAAAAAAAAAGGCGGACTCAAGAGTAGGGGTACTAAAAGACAAAATCAAAGCTGTTCAATGTGTGAAGAAATTCACTTTGTTAGTGTGAGGCCAACTAAACTGGTTCCTAGTAAAATGAGTTCTTCAATTTTTAATATGAGACCCACTGAACTTGTTCTTAACAAGAACGAGTTCTTTATAAATTTAAATTCGATCACTACCTAAATGACTTTGAAGTGTAGCATCTTAGTAAACATTATTAATGCTATAGCATTTGAGTAAAATAAATTACTGTTGATAGTATATGAGTTAAGAAACAAAAAAAAACCATGAGAGCAAACAAAAGCAGGTGAAATTAATTTTATGGATGTGTTACGCTTGGGAATGTGAGGCCTCTCATATTCCGCGCTGATCAACTTCAAGTTAGGGCCTCACATGAATAAATATATAATAGAAGAATACTTGTGCTTGGGGGGAAAAAAAAAAACAGGCGTCAGTGAGGTTGGGAATGAGACGAAGAGGATGAGAGATTCCAATGAGTTCAATCTTAAAAAATGGAGAGCACGGATGAAATTTTCAATTAATTTTTGTTCGCTCTTTAATATCTTATATTTTTCTCTTTATTTAACTTTTATAACCTTACTTATCTGATTTTTTTTTAAAAAAAAAATTTGAACTCATTCCTCCCCATCCGCCTCATTTTCTTGAATCGAACCAAAGAGAGAATTGATTGTGCACAGGGTGTAAAATCTAGTTAGATTGATAGGTTGATGTTTGTGAGGTATGCGTTCTTTTCAATCTTTTCTATGTGACTTTTCCAACTAAAACAAACGGATTGAAAATTGCTTAAAATGGATTGCTCTGGCATCATCTCCTTGTATCTATATGTAATCTATAATCTTCTTGATTTTAACTTTCTTTAGATTCGTGTGGCAAAATTAACCTACGTGTATATTGAGTGAGAACCACATCACTGGTTACTAACATTTTTTTTTTTACAAATTAACAAATTATGGGTATAGGGATTTATGCTTATAATTGTGTAAAATGTAAGGAAGCAATAAAAAAATTACAAAGCCCTCACTACAAGAAATTGTTGAAGTAGCAGCGGAACATTTCTAGCGGTTAAACAAAACCGCTAGAAATTCCAGATATTTCTAGCGGTTCCTATAAAAACCGCTGCAAAATACAGACGGTTTGACCATTACCCGCACATTTCTAGCGGTTACCCCTAACTGCTAGAAAATTAGAGCTAGAAAATTCCCCGGGCTTTGGCGGGAACTTGGCGCCAAATTTGTAGCGTTTACTTTCTAGCGGTCAGGCTAATAAACCGCTAGACACCGAAAAATTCTAGCGGTTGATGCATGAAGCGCTAGAAATTTTTTTCATTCCCCGAGGAGTTTAGAAATTTCTAGCGGTTCTGTCCTGAACCGCTAGAGATTTCTAGCGGTTATGGACCGAACCGCTAGAAATTGTTAGCGGTTCAGGACCGAACCGCCAGACTTTCTAGCGGTTCTCGGACGAACCGCTAGAAATTGCTAGCGGTTTGGACCGAACCGCTAGCCAATTCCCAACGGTCATATGACCGTTGGGAATTTCTAGCGGTTCGGCTCAAAACCGCTAGAAATTTCTAGCGGTTTTGGGCCTAACCGCTAGAAAGTCTCGGTCTATATATACCCCCCCACACTCTCACTTCTTCAATCGTTCTGGAAGCGAAGCTCTGCTGAATTTTCTTCACAAACATATTCGAGTTCTGATTCAGTTGCAGATCCTTATTTTCAGGTAAAAATAGTAATTTATTGATAAATAATTTTTATTTTATGTTTTATTTTATTTATTTTATTATGTTATAGCTTATAAATAAATTTTTTTTTATTTCATTTATAAATAATTACTATTTGTTGTTATTAGGATGCCTCGTCGACACGGGAAAGACCCAGTTGATCCTGAGAGAGCTGGACCCAGTGAGGTTCATCATGATGCTGATGAGCCATTCCCCAGCATTCATGACTACGATCTGAGCGAGGAGGATATCCTCAGTTTTATGGAGCAGGATGGTGTTGAGCGGACTGAGGAGGCTCATTTTACTTGGCCTGATTAAAATCAATTGAAATTATGAGGACTTGTGGATTAATAATCATCCCAAAAATAATGAGACAAATTTTATCTAAAGCTATAATTGCTCCCAACTTGAAAGGGATTAGCTTGAAGTCTGATGTGATATGGGGATTTCCTAGTTTCACCTAAAATTTTTTTTATAAAATTAACGTAGATATAAAATGAAGTTATGTAAGACTAGAAAGATTAAAAAAAAAGTTATATAAGATTAGTATAGTCACATAAGATTAGTATAGCTATACAAATGATTCACATATCGATCAAATTATTTCCTTTGATAGACTTGTAAATCGGTATAATTAGAACTAAGATTTGGTTAGAGAAGGTAATGGAAGAAGATCATAGTAGATTTTTTATGATTGTTATTGAGTACGGATAAATTAATAATAATATCTTATGTTACTGGTAATTTATGATATTAAATTTATTTATAACGTCTTAGTTAGTAATAACCATCGAAAAAAATGTTAAGATCAATTTATTTTGATATTGTTCACATCATACTTAGATATAGCCAATCAAAGCTAAAAACTTGCATTAACTATACTATTTTCATACTAATAATTTAAAATCAATTATTAAACCTCTAGCCAAAAAATCAATTATTAAATTTGATTTCGAAAGCACAATATGTTGTTACAACCTGCAGCTTATAAGCACCAAATTGTAAAAGCTCTTTTCACGATGGATTTTTTTTTTTTCGTTTCACAATAGTTCAAACCATAGTCTACTTTTGATTTATATATAATAACAAGTAGATTGAATGCTGGTTACTTAACTTCTTTTGTTTTTTTTTTAAATACATATCTAGGATTATAATGAATAATATGACATTTAAATTTGCAACCCAATTGCTGAACCACAAGGAATGACGATAGGTGCGCCTGAAGAGATCCTCAAGAGTAGTAATTGAGTCCTTCCTCTTCTTTTCTAATCATTGAATTAATATTTTAACAGTTGAGATTTAAATCTTTTTAACACTATTATTAAAATATTAAATTATAAAAATAAATAAATAATAAATTACAAATTTTATTAAAATTTAATTCTAATGGTTTGCAAATGTACTAAATATTTGTAAAAAAATTTATAAATAGTTTATAAAAATTAAAATTTTAACCATTGAAATATGTTAATCCAATGGTTAGAAAAGAAAAAAGAGGTAAGAGGACAGGAAGAGAAGAGAAGAGATTCCAAACCGAGTAATTGAGGAAGTTCTCGGGATTTGGATTCTCTCCACTTCTTCTCCCATCCTCTTCCT